TTGGAAAAGCATTCCAGGTGAAGCTGGTTGAGAGAATGCCAAGAGTGTGCAAAGCTGTCATGAAGGCAAAGGGTGGCTACTTTGAAGAATCTCAAATCTCAAGTATATTTTGATTTGTTTTGGTTACATGATTCCATATGTGTTATTTCATAGTTTTTATGTCTTAATAATAATAATAATAATAATAATAATTGGTCATTTAGCAGACGCTCTTATCCAGAGCGACTTACAGGAGCAATTAGGGTTAAGTGCCTTGCTCAAGGGCACATCGACAGATTTTTCACCTAGTGGGCTCGGGGATTAGAACCAGCGACCTTTCGGTTACTGGCACAACGCTCTTACCCACTAAGCTACCTGTCTTCACTATGATTCTACACAGTAGAAAATAAAGAAAACCCTTGAATGAGTAGGTGTGTCCAAACTTTTGACTGGTACTGTATATATATATATATATATATATATATATATATATATATATATATATATATATATGCCATTTAGCTAGCAGACACTTTTATCCAAAGCAACTTAGTCATGCGTGCATACATTTTTACATATGGTTGGTCCCGGGAATTGAACCCACTACCCTGCCATTTAAAGCGCCATGTTCTACCAATTGAGATACAAAGGGCCACTTGTTCTTCATTTTAAAACAAGACAATACTGCACATGGATTGTGACGGATTCAGTTTATTACTGAATATAAATTCACAACACTATTTTTTTTAACATGGCTTCTAACTCCAGGAAAATATTCCCCTACACATAACATACAAAAAAATACATAATGAGTTTAGAATTTCTGTAATGAGTAAAAAACTTTGAACACACAATAAAAAGCCTTCATCTCCATTTAAGTTATGTTCTGAAAGGTAGTACATAAGAAGATCTTTCAGAGCTCTTGGATATGTTTTAACATCCACTGATGTGTAACTACATGAGAAACACTGAAATTAGAAATGTTGCCTCATTAACTTGAATGACAACAATCATGAATTGCATAATGGGACTTGAGGACTTAACTTTGGGAGAAAAACTACAACAGCAGCAATCTTTCCCAAAGTTTAGTACTCAATGGTGAGGATTGTGTGGAAGGGCTGACACATAGACCTAAGGGGACTAACAGTCTCAGTCTCATTCTGGCTCCCATATTCCTCTGATGTCTCATCCCCAGACAGTGGTTGATAGCAGTGCTGCTACACCTGCTGGCCAGAGTCTGTAGCGACACCTGCTGGCCAGAGTCTGTATCTACACCTGCTGGCCAGAGTCTGTAGCGACACCTGCTGGCCAGAGTCTGTATCTACACCTGCTGGCCAGAGTCTGTATCTACACCTGCTGGCCAGAGTCTGTATCTACACCTGCTGGCCAGAGTCTGTGGCGACACCTGCTGGCCAGAGTCTGTATCTACACCTGCTGGCCAGAGTCTGTATCTACACCTGCTGGCCAGAGTCTGTATCTACACCTGCTGGCCAGAGTCTGTGGCGACACCTGCTGGCCAGAGTCTGTATCTACACCTGCTGGCCAGAGTCTGTATCTACACCTGCTGGCCAGAGTCTGTAGCGACACCTGCTGGCCAGAGTTCTAAAACCTGCTGGCCAGAGTCTGTATCTACACCTGCTGGCCAGAGTCTGTATCTACACCTGCTGGCCAGAGTCTGTATCTACACCTGCTGGCCAGAGTCTGTATCTACACCTGCTGGCCAGAGTCTGTAGCGACACCTGCTGGCCAGAGTCTGTATCTACACCTGCTGGCCAGAGTCTGTAAAGACACCTGCTGGCCAGAGTCTGTAACTACACCTGCTGGCCAGAGTCTGTAGCGACACCTGCTGGCCAGAGTCTGTAACTACACCTGCTGGCCAGAGTCTGTAGCGACACCTGCTGGCCAGAGTCTGTAGCGACACCTGCTGGCCAGAGTCTGTATCTACACCTGCTGGCCAGAGTCTGTAGCGACACCTGCTGGCCAGAGTCTGTATCTAAAACCTGCTGGCCAGAGTCTGTTCTACACCTGCTGGCCAGAGTCTGTAGCGACACCTGCTGGCCAGAGTCTGTATCTACACCTGCTGGCCAGAGTTCTGTAGCGACACTTCTGGCCAGAGTCTGTAACTACACCTGCTTGGCCAGAGTCTGTAGCGACAGCCCTGCTGGCCAGAGTCCTGTAACTACACCTGGCTTGGCCAGAGTCTGTAGCGACACCTGCTGGGGCCAGAGTCTGTAGCGACAACCTGCTGGCCAGAGTCTGTAAGCGACACCTGCTGGCCAGAGTCTGTAACTACAAACACCTGCTGGCCAGAGTCTGTATCTACACCTGCCTGGCCCAGAGTCCTGTAGCGACACCCTGCTGGCCAGAGTCTGTAACTAACCTGCTGGCCAGAGTCTGTAGCGACAACCTGCTGGCCAGAGTCCTGGTAACTACACCTGCTGGCCAGAGTCTGTATCTACACCCTGCTGGCCAGAGTCTGTAGCGACACCTGCTGGCCAGAGTCTGTAGCGACACCTGCTGGCCAGAGTCTGTAACTACAACACTGCGGCCAGAGTCTGTATCTACACCTGCTGGCCAGAGTTCTGTATCTACACCCTGCTGGCCAGAGTCTTGTATCTACACCATAATAACAATAAGAGACTAAAAATCTGCGGCCCAAATGGTGCCCTATTCCCTATAAAGTGTACTACTTTTGACCAGGACCCCATAGGGAATACGTAGGGCTCTGGTCAAAAGTAGTGCATTATATAGGGAATAGGGTGCCATTTGGGATGTACAAATAAGAGTGGAAACAAAAAACAATAGCATTCTGAAAACTGAGCAGGCGACCGCTTTCTTTCCCACACAAAACGCTGACCAAGCTCAGTGACTCACACGATCACTTATTTAGCCCTTTCTTAAGTCTTATGTACAATAATTGTTTTAAACATGAAAAAAAGGAGAATAATTAAAAGAACGTAAAACACAAACACAAAAACATCATACAGTATATAACATCATACAGTATAAAACATCATACAGTATATAACATCATACAGTATATAACATCATACAGTATAATAACATCATACAGTATATAACATCATACAGTATATAACATCATACAGTATATAACATCATACAGTATATAACATCATACAGTATATAACATCATACAGTAAAATAACATCATACAGTATAATAACATCATACAGTATATAACATCATACAGTATATAACATACTTCATGCAAAACTATTAATTCATCTTGGTAGCTAGTCATTTTTCAGAGACCAGACACACCTGTGAGAGAGATGGAGTAAGGCAGGGAAAGAGAGAGGAGGAGGAGGAGGTGAAGAGAGGAGCTATTAGGGCCTCAGTGGAGAGACTGATGAAAACAGAAGCAAAATTACCCCAGCAGCCTAACCCCTGGTATAGGTCCCCAGCAGCCTAACCCCTGGTATAGGTCCCCAGCAGCCTAACCCCTGGTATAGGTCCCCAGCAGCCTAACCCCTGGTATAGGTCCCCAGCAGCCTAACCCTGTATATGTCCCCAGCAGCCTACCCCTGGTATAGGTCCCCGAGCCTAACCCCTGGGATAGTCCCCAGCAGCCTACCCCTGGTATAGGTCCCCAGCAGCCTAACCCCCTGGTTATAGGTCCCCCAGCAGCCTAACCCCTGGTATAGGTCCCCAGCAGCCTAACCCCTGGTATAGGTCCCCAGCAGCCTAACCCCTGGTATAGGTCCCCAGCAGCCTAACCCCTGGTATAGGTCCCCAGCAGCCTAACCCCTGGTATAGGTCCCCAGCAGCCTAACCCCTGGTATAGGTCCCCCGGCAGCCTAACCCCGTGTATAGGTCCCAGCAGCCTAACCCCTGTATAGGTCCCCAGCAGCCTAACCCCTGTTATAGGTCCCCAGTCAGCCTACCCCTGGTATAGGTCCCCAGCAGCCTAACCCCTGGTATAGGTCCCCAGCAGCCTAACCCCTGGTATAGGTCCCCAGCAGCCTAACCCCTGGTATAGGTCCCCAGCAGCCTAACCCCTGGTATAGGCCCCCAGCAGCCTAACCCCTGGTATAGGTCCCCAGCAGCCTAACCCCTGGTATAGGTTAGGCCTCTCCACCCCAACTACTATGGTTCATCACCCGTCCTCCTTTCACCTCCTCCCCTCTCTCACCTGCTGCACACAAAACCGCTCCATCTCTAGCACCTCCCCAGGGCACATATTCATAGTAGGAGTGCTGATCATGGATCCGTTTTTTTTTCCTTTTAGATTATAATGAATTGATCATAATGGAAAGGGGATCCCTGATCCTAGATCAGCACAGGCCCAGGTCTCTCTGTCACACTGATCAACAGCTCACAAAACGTCGCTTAAGTGCTCTCACAAAGATCGAGCTAGCTATCTAGCTAGCTAACTGACTACCAACGATAAGCGCTTCAGGAATAGAACAGAACTGAACAGAAGGACGTACAGGTGTTTGTTTGAGTATCGAAGAAGGGCATTAAGCTGAACCTCGCATCATAATGGCTCCATAAGACTCCATAATATCCCAAAGCTGAATTCATAACCTAAAACCATTCATCAATTAATTACGGTCCCTAAATCTGAGTTACTTCTAAAAACATAATGTATGTCACTTAAAAAATAATTTGACAACAACGATGTGTGTGTGTGGCCCACTGTCATGTGTGAGCACTGGTTCCAGATCTGTTTGTACCCTTGCCAACTCCACTGCTGTCATTGGCCAGTTGTGTTTGGCCTGACGATGAATGACCGGGCGTTGGCTTGATAGCCCGAACAAACTGCTATTCAGACTACAAAAAAAGCTGCAGGTCCATTTGTTGTGCTTGATTGAAAGGTGTGTGACTAAAGACAGGGTGTCAGACCTGGTCAGTTGTCAGGCTAGGGGAGGGTGAATGGTTTTAGACAGCTGTTTGTTTCAGTTTTTCACTGTGAGAGTGTGTCTATGTAATGCGTGTGTGTGTGTGTGTGTGTGTGTGTGTGTGTGTAGGACGTTTGGCTCTCTTCATAGTCAGTACTTGGGTACTTTGGAGTAGTCCTCCTGAACAACACTCTTACAGAGACACATGGACAGGATCATACCTAGGAGCTGGAAGGGAACATAACACTGGGTTAGTTATGCTGATAACACACGCACACACACACACACACACACACACACACACACACACGCACACACACCGCACACACACGCACACACACACACACACACACACACACACACACCACCCACACACACACCACACACACACACACACACACACACGTCACACACACACACACCACTCAACACATATACATATACACACACACACACACACACACACACACACACACGCACACACACACACACACGCAGACACATAGACATATACACACACAGGAAGCACGCATACGCCTGAAAACGGTATTGTGGGGTACAGTAGACATCCTAGTATTACTACTGAGGGTGCAGGATGCATACTACTGAGGGTGCAGGATGCATACTACTGAGGGTTCAGGATGCATACTACTGAGGGTTCAGGATGCATACTACTGAGGGTGCAGGATGCATACTACTGAGGGTGCAGGATGCATACTACTGAGGGTGCAGTATGCATACTACTGAGGGTGCAGGATCATACTACTGAGGGTGCAGGATGCATACTACTGAGGGTTAGGGTGCATATACTGAGGGGTTTTTTGGGTTGAAAAATACTGAGGGGCAGGGTGCCTACTCAGGTTCAGGATCCCTCTACTTTAGGGTGAAAATTTCAAAACTATGGGGTGCAAAGGGTGCATCCCACTGAGGGTGGAAAGGGTGCATATAATGAGGGGGAGGCTTAATACGGAGGGGTTTAGGGTGCATACTAAAATGAGGGGGCGGATGATACTATGGGGGGGCCCGGAGGGATCTACTGAGGGTTTCAAAAGGGTTTTATAAAAAAATGAGGGTGCGGAGGGGATATTTTTTGAGGGTTCAGGATGATTTCCTTTCTGAGGGGGCAGGATGCCAAAAAAATGAGGGTTCAGGGTGCCCTCACTGAGGGTTTAGGATGCTATACTGAGGGGCGGAGCATTTACTGAGGGTTTTAAATGCTACTCCCAAAAAGGGGAGGGTCCAAATTAGGAAAAGCCAAACTACTGGGGGGTTGCAGGAAAGGGATTACTGAAGGGGTTTTAGGATGAAAAAAACTACCGGGGGGGTTTAGGATGCCTACTAAAATGAGGGTTTTAGGATGCATACTACGGGGTTCAGGATGATAATTTCTGAGGGGGGAGGGGCCCTAATACTGAGGGGGAAAGGGTTCATACTAGTGAGGGGGCAGGATGGAACTACTGAGGGTTCAATGATATACTGGGGTGGGAGGAAAGCATACTACGGGGGGGTTCCCGGAAAAAGCATAATAGTGAGGGTGGGAAATAAAAACTAAGAGGTTGCAGGATGCATCCCACTGAGGGGGGCAGGTGAATAAATAGTGATGTTGGGAGCATGCATACCCCCTTCCCTTTAAAACTTTATACGAACATGAGGAGGGGGGCTGGTGGTGTTTGTGTGTTTGGGGTGTGTTTTGGTGGTGGGTGCAGCATTGGTTTTTTTTGGGCGACCCTGTGTTTTGAGGGCTGTGGGAGGTGCTTTTTTGTGCAGGTGGTGTGTGTACCCAATGTGTGTGCACGTGTGATAATACCCCTAAATGGGACCCCCCCCCCCCGACACAGATTCCAAAAAATAAAATCCACGTTTTCCAAAAACCAGCCCTCCCAAATAGCCTGAAACCCCCTTTTAGAAGAGGAGGGAAAAGGGAGGGGGAGAGAGAAAGAGTAAAAAAAGAGAGAGGGGAGAGAAGAGGGGAGAGAGGAAAAGGAGAGAAAAAAAGGGGGGGAGAGGGGAGGGGATTAAAAAAAGAGAGAGGGGGGGGAGGAAAGAAGAGAAAGCGGAGGAAGGGGGGGGGAAGGGGGAAAAGGGGGGAGGGGAAAGGGGAAAAGGGGAGAGAGGGGGAGACGGGGAGGAAAAGAGATGTTTCCCCTGGGCCCAAAAATTGGGAAATTTAATTTAGAGGGGAAAAAGATTTGCTATTTGAAAACTATTAAATAAAAAACTTCAGCAAATAACAGATATAAGAAAAGGGCAAAGTAAAAAACCCTTCAAATCAAAAATGCAATTTCCGGTCCTCTTTCATTTTTAGGGAGAGAGAGAGAGAAAGAAAGAAAGGAGAGAGCTGCAGAAAGAAGAAAGGGAGGAGAGCAGTGCAGAAAGAGAGAGAAGGGAGGAGAGGAGTGCAGAAAGAGAGAGAAGGGAGGAACCGTGCAAAAAAGAAAGGGGGAGGGGAGTCAAAAAGAGAAAAAGGGGATCAAAAAAAAAGGGGGAAAAATTTTTGCAAAAAAAAACAAACCCGTCAAAAAAAGAAGGGGAGGAAGAAAAAAAAAAAAATAGAAAAGAAAAAGGAGAATAAAAAAAAAAAATTTTCAGAAAAAAAAAAAGGGAGTGCAAAAGAAAAGGGGAAAGGAGTCAAAAAAAAAAGGGGGGAAATCAAAAAAGAAAAGGGAAAAGGGTCAAAAAAAAACCATTGGGGGGGTGATCTAAACCCTACAAACCCGGACGCTCGCCAAAAAAAATGTTGCTTTGGACGAGGCAGAACATTTTGGGGGTGTGGTGTGTGTGTGTTTGGTTTGTACTGGTGTGTGTGTGTTGTCTTTGGCGGGGCCCTGTAGATAGAAAAAAAACCAGGGGCGGGTTTGGGAAAAAGAAGAGAATAGAATCCATACAAAGAATCCCTCTATTAAAACAGTCATCCCCCCAAAAGGAAACTGGGATTCCTCTGCTGTTGATAAGGTTTTTTATCAATACAAACACAGGGTCGGAGTTGGGAACTGTGAGTGCGGGGCCAACAACAGTAGCCTTTAGAGGGATCAGTAACCTTTTGAAACCCCTAACGGGTACTGCAGTCCCTCATACGAATTAAAACCAGAAAAGACATCATTAAATGTCATTGAAAAATTTGCCCACCGAGTAGCTTGGTTCAATCCCAAGACCCCTCCACCGGCCTGCCCCTTTTTACAAAAAACCAAAACACACTTACTATAAACCAAAAAACTAGTGGGGGCTCCTGTCCCTCTTAACAACCTTTTTAGTTTAGGGGCGGGTCAACAAGGGGTTTTTCACAGACCCCCAGTCCCCCTTCATCTTTTCCCTCTCTCTTCCCCCTTCTAACATATTTTGGAAATTGGCAGGTCAACAGAGAGGTGTTCCAGAGCCCAGTCTCCTTTGTCTGCCCCTCTTTTAAACATAGTTTGGTATACGGCGGGTCGCAAGAGGTTTTCACAAGCCCATTTCCCTTTACATCTGTCCCCGGGGAGGGGTTTTATTTGACAGGAGCAGGAATACGGGGGCGGGAAATTTCCCATCCACACGTTCTCCCAACCTTTTAACCCCCCAACCCCCATTTCCCCAGGGAAAAGGGAAGGAAGGGGGAAAGGGGGGGAGGAAGAAAGGAAGGGGGGAAAGGGGAGGAGGAAGGAAGGAAGGGGGGGGGGAAAGGGGGAAAGGGGGGGGGAAAAAGGGGGGGAGGAAAGGGGAAAAGGGGGAAGGGAAGGGGGGGGGGGAGGGAGAAGGGGGGGGAAAAAAGGGAAAAAAGGGGTTTTGTTGGGGGGGTTTTTTTTTTGGGGGGGGGGGGGGGGGGGGGGGGAAAAAATTTTTTTTTTTTTGGGGGGGGGGCCCCCCCCCCCCCCCGGGGGGGGGGGGGGGGGGGGGGGGGGGGGGGTTTTTTGGGGGGGGGGGGGGGGGGGGGGGGGGTTTTTTTTTTTTTTGGGGGGGGGTTTTTTTTTTGGGGGGGTTTTTTTTTGGGGGGGGGGGGGGGGGGGAGGGGGGGGGGGGGGGGGGGGGGCCCGGGGGGGGGGGGGGGGGGGGGGTTTTTTTGGGGGGGGTCCCCCCCCCCCCCCCCCCCCCCCCCCCCCCCCCCCCCCCCCCCCGGGGGGGGGGGGGGGGGGGGGGGGGGGGGGGGGGGGCCCCCGGGGGGGGGGGAGGGGGGGGGGGGGGGGGGGAAGGGGGGGAAAAAAAGGGGGGGGGAAAAAAAAAAAAAAAAAAAACCCCCTTTTTTTTTTTTTCCCCCTTTTCCCCCCCTTTAAACCCAAAAACCCCTTGGGTGTGGGAAAAGGGGGAAAGGGAAGGGGAAAAAAAGAAGGAAAAAAAAAGGAAAATTTTAAAAAACCTTGGGATAAAAGTGCTTTTTTGTTTTTACACAGTTAAAAGCACAGTGATATTACATTCAGTTGACGACTGAACTAAAATATAAATGTTGATAAAGGCGAAACTAAGGCAGGTCCAGCTACTCACCGTCCTCTGTATGTAGTCCCAGGAGTGTTCTGTGGTCCTGTTCTGACCAGTGTAGTTGACCAGCATCCCCTTGACGATGGTGGACATCTCCTGCTGCAGCTGGGGAAGAGACAGGGAAGAATGAGTTTATGACTAAATTCTGATCGTAGAGCTGCAGCCTTCACTTGGTGAATATGGGCCCAGGTTGGTCTTACAGATCTGATCAGATCTGTTGGCAAAGAACAGTGTAATGAATAATAATGGATAATAATAATAATAATAATAATAACAATAACAATAACAATAACAATAATAATAATATTAATAATGAATAATAATAAAGGGGTGTCTCTATAAGGCCATGGGAGGAGTGGGGACGGGAAGAGGGGAGGGGATAAAACCATGACAGTGAGGGAGGGGAGGTAGCCTCCCCCTGTTCTGGTACTGGGGAAGTGTGCCACCCTACCCTGCCCTGTGGTAAACCCCAAACACAGAGATCAAGTCTGGACTGGAGACCAGGACACACACAAACAGACACAGACACACACACACACACAAAAGGCAGATATCTGGATTGTTCAGACACACAACCTAATACACCAAGCCCAGGTCATTATTGCTTTCTCCTTCAATCACAGGCCGAAACAAGTTATGATATGAAATTGCGAACAACATTATTCTACAATAACATTATTTGAGGGCTTTCACGCTGGTAAAAACTAAAATACCTCCAACTCAACTGTGCATCTATGCTGTTATGTTACAGTGGAGTTACAGAAGACCAACCCTGGCTGTACAGCCAGTGCCCTTCTTCTACCTATAGGGGGCAATATCCCATCATAGACCAACACCGTGCAGACACGTCTCCATTCCCATTCTGAGAGTTGACATTTCACCAGCCGCTCAGAGTTGGCTCAGAGTTGGCAAGTGTCACGACAGAGACAGACACATTTCACAAACACACGCCTTGCACATTCCCATAGCCCTGTCATCAAGGCAAAGGGTGGCTATTTGAAGAATCTCAAATATAAAATACATTTTGATTTGTTTAACACTTTTTTGGTTACTACATGATTCCATGTGTTATTTCATAGTTTTGATGTCTTCACTGTTATTCTACAATGTAAAAAAAATAGTACAAATAAAGAAAAACCCATGAATGTGCCAGGAGTGCCAAAACATTTGACTGTTACTGTATGTATTTTCTTAAACAGAGCAAATCGGACGGGGCATGTGCCCCTTCGCCCCCTTTTGGCATGATGCCTCTGTGTGCAAATTCACTCACAGAGATGATGAAGCATCATGCTCTCTCCCTCCGTGTAAAGAAATGTGACTACTACCACAGCGCACACAACCCCAGGTACCGGGAGGCGGGACAGACAGCGGACTGTCAAACCAGTCATCGCTCACTTTGTGACAGACAGGTACCTGTCCTATCAATAGATCGCCTAGAAGATGCATATTGTTCTTTCTAGCGGGAAAGGCTGACTTTATCTGACTTATTTAAAAAAATATTTCACAGCGTTTTAGATAGTACAATGATTCTCTACACTATGCATTGCTTGTTTGGTCACATAAACTGAAATTAGGCCAACCATTTTGAATTTTAGCAATCAGGAAATGGCGGAGTGATTTCTGCATATTGTGGAAAAACAGTAGACGGCTAAAATGAGTCTGTAATCTGCTGTATAGCCGACAGCCAGCGCTACTGGTAAACACTTCGGACTCACTGACAACTTTCCCGTGGTTCCATCACAGGGCAGGGAGATTCCCAGCAGGTCTCAGTCAGCCACAGCTGTCTAGGGGGGGGGGGGAATGTTGGGTATGTCCCAGCTGTGGTGAGAGGCCAAGAAAGGGTGAGGAGGAGTGGGAGGGAGGGAGAGTGGGGGGTGGGGTGGAGAGAGTGGTGGGACTCACCCTGTTCTTCTGTAGGTAGATGAAGTAGAGACAGGGACGGGGACGACAGACAGAACAGGCGGAGAGAGTGGGACAGAAGGGACGGGGGGGGGACGACAACAGGACAGGGGGAGAGCGTGGACCAGGAGGGAGGGGGGACGGGACCAGACAGGGGGGAGAGAGTGGACAGGAGGGACGGGGACGACAGGACAGGGGGGAGAGAGTGGGACAGAAGGGAGGGGGGACGACAGACAGGGGGAGAGGAGGTGGACAGGAGGGAGGGGGACAAACAGACAGGGGGAGAGGAGTGGACAGGAGGGGGGGGGGACAAACAGGACAGGGGGGATGAGAGGGACAGGAGGGACCGGGGACGAACAGACAGGGGGGAAGAGAAGTGGACAGGAGGGAGGGGGGATGACAGACAGGGGGGGAGAGTGGACAGGAGGGAGGCCGGGGGGGACGGGACAGGGACTGGAGAGGACGGGGGCGACAGGACGGGGAAGAGAGTGGACAGGAGGGAGGGGGGGTCTGACAGACAGGGGAGAGAGTGGACAGGAGGGAGGGGTGGAACAGACAGGGGGAGAGAGTGGACGGACAGTGACAGGGGAGAGAGTGGACAGGAGGGAGGGGGGGGGACAGACAGGGGGAGAGAGGTGGACAGGAGGGAGGGGGGGGGACAGACAGGGGGAGAGAGTGGACAGGAGGAGGGGGGGGGGACAGACAGGGGGAGAGAGTGGACAGGAGGGAGGGGGGGGGACAGACAGGGGGAGAGAGTGGACAGGAGGGAGGGGGGGGGGACAGACAGGGGGAGAGAGTGGACAGGAGGGAGGGGGGATGACAGACAGGGGGAGAGAGTGGACAGGAGGGAGGGGGACGACAGACAGGGGGAGAGAGTGGACAGGAGAGAGGACACTCACCCCCCGACTCTCTGGAAGTACTGTAGATGAGGTAGAGGGGGGAGGGGAGAGGTGGAGGTATAACTCACCCTGTCTCTCTGGAAGTAGATGAGTACCCCAGCCGTAACCTGGGCGATGAGGATGAGCAGGAGGCAGGTAAAGTACTGGGGACAGACAGACAAGACAGACAGACAGACAGACAGACAGGCAGGCAGACAGACAGCATAATGAGAAAGTACCTTTTAGAGGCTCATCATAACAGTTTGAAAGAACAATGGTTTAGTTAGCATGACACAGCCCAAGTCATGTTCTACAGAGAATATCAGTCTCTAGAGAATATTTAACTTTTCTCTGATTCAACAGATTCTGTGTTCAGGTTTGGGTAGAGTATTCTATCTTCCATTGAATGACAGTTTCAGTGCATGGACATCTCAGTAGGACTGCTAGCTATTTCAGGCGGTTCCTCCATAGCACCCCTGTTAATACCCCCCCTTAACCCCCGGCCCTGTTCGAGCAGGTTTACCCCCCCTCACCAGTACCCGTTCCCCCCGAGCTAGCAGGTTCACCCCCCCTCACCAGCACCTGTTCTGATGAACACCCCTTAAGCTCTCAGGATTATCTTCTCTGTAACCTCCTCACCCCTCTCTGTAACCTCCTCACCCCTCTCTGTAACCGCTCCTCCACCCCTCTCTGTAACCTCCTCACCACTCTCTGTAACCTCCTCACCACTCTCTGTAACCTCCTCACCCCTCTCTGTAACCGCTCCTCACCCCTCTCTGTAACCTCCTCACCCCTCTCTGTAACCCCCTCACCCCTCTCTGTAACCGCTCCTCACCCCTCTCTGTAACCTCCTCACCCCTCTCTGTAACCTCCTCACCCCTCTCTGTAACCTCCTCACCCCTCTCTGTAACCGCTCCTCACCCCTCTCTGTAACCACTCCTCACCCCTCTCTGTAACCTCCTCACCCCTCTCGGTAACCTCTCCTCACCACTCTCTGTAACCTCCTCACCACTCTCTGTAACCTCCTCACCCCTCTCTGTAACCTCCTCACCCCCTCTCTGTAACCGCTCCTCACCCCTCTCTGTAACCGCTCCTCACCCCTCTCTGTAACCTCCTCACCCCTCTCTGTAACCGCTCCTCACCCTTCTCTGTAACCGCTCCTCACCCCTCTCAGTAACCGCTCCTCACCCCTCTCTGGTAACCGCTCCTCACCCCTCTCTGTAACCTCCTCACCCCCTCTCTGTAACCTCCTCACCCCTCTCTGTAACCTCCTCACCCCTCTCTGTAACCTCCTCACCGCTCTCTGTAACCTCCTCACCCCTCTCTGTAACCTCCTCACCCCTCTCTGTAACCTCCTCACCGCTCTCTGTAACCTCCTCACCCCTCTCTGTAACCTCCTCACCCCTCTCTGTAACCTCCTCACCCCTCTCGGTAACCTCTCCTCACCACTCTCTGTAACCTCCTCACCACTCTCTGTAACCTCCTCACCCCTCTCTGTAACCTCCTCACCCCTCTCTGTAACCGCTCCTCACCCCTCTCTGTAACCGCTCCTCACCCTCTCTGTAACCTCCTCACCCCTCTCTGTAACTGCTCCTTACCCTTCTCTGTAACCGCTCCTCACCCTCTCAGTAACCGCTCCTCACCCCTCTCTGTAACCGCTCCTCACCCCTCTCTGTAACCGCTCCTCACCCCTCTCTGTAACCTCCTCACCCCTCTCTGTAACCTCCCCACCCCTCTCTGTAACCTCCTCACCCCTCTCTGTAACCTCCTCACCGCTCTCTGTAACCTCCTCACCCCTCTCTGTAACCTCCTCACCCCTCTCTGTAACCTCCTCAACCCCTCTCTGTAACCTCCTCACCCTCTCTGTAACCTCCTCACCCCTCTCTGTAACCTCCTCACCGCTCTCTGTAACCTCCTCACCACTCTCTGTAACCTCCTCACCCCTCTCTGTAACCTCCTCACCCCTCTCTGTAACCTCCTCACCCCTCTCTGTAACCGCCTCCTCACCCCTCTCTGTAACCGCTCCTCACCCCTCTCTGTAACCTCCTCACCCCTCTCTGAACCGCTCCTCACCCTTCTCTGTAACCGCTCCTCACCCCTCTCAGTAACCCGCTCCTCACCCCTCTCAGTAACCGCTCCTCACCCCTCTCTGTAACCGCTCCTCACCCCTCTGTAACGCTCCTCACCCCTCTCTGTAACCTCCTCACCCCTCTCTGTAACCTCCTCACCCCTCTCTGTAACCTCCTCACCGCTCTCTGTAACCTCCTCACCGCTCTCTGTAACCTCCTCACCCCTCTCTGTAACCTCCTCACCCCTCTCTGTAACCTCCTCACCCCTCTCTGTAACCTCCTCACCCCTCTCTGTAACCTCCTCACCCCTCTCTGTAACCTCCTCACCCCTCTCTGTAACCTCCTCACCCCTCTCTGTAACCCCCTCACATTAATAATCCACACATACGGCTGCTCTTGACGACAGACTCAGTAGTCAGTCAGGAGGATGGTATTATACTAACAACCCAAGCTCATTGGGCCAAACAGCACCAGGTGTTCACACACTGAGCTGAGCTTGTAGTCTAGTTCTAACTAACCCTATTCAAGTTTCATGTGGATATCTTAGCTACAATTGTAGCTCACTGCAGCAGCTTAGAGCATTGTGACATAACTTCAACATCACTCTACATCCTGCCCCAACCCAACCTTTTACAGCATTGCGGTGAAGGAACAAGTCCCTGTGAGAGCCGGGTTATTTTTTAGCAGTGTGGATGTGCGTTTACTCACCAGGCCCAGCATGCAGCGTATCTCGTAGATGGCTCCTATACAGCCCAGGAAGCCCATGACCATGGAGAGAGAGCCCACAGTGATCAGAATATAGGACGCTACCTTCAGAGTGGTGGACTCCTCCTCTGTAGAGAAGGCATACACGAACGGGTTAAACATTCAGCCCACAACATCACCTACTGAACCAGGCTCCGATATCATCCTAAACTACACAGAATGGAGGGTCTCCATTGAAAGTGATTTTTAGTCCATGACTCAATCTAGCCCACACATTTAAATCACCTGACCAACCCTGTACACATAACCAACCCTATACAATGAAATATGCACATGTGGCAGGTCAGGTACCGTGTAACCTGTTCATTTAGTAGTAGTAACACAGGCTATGTCAAGTCAAGCAATGCGGTCCACCATGGAGCAAGTTGCATTCTAAACATTCTAGCAGTGTTCTCTACCAGAGTTATAACAACACACCAGAGACCAGAGAGAGAGCAAGGCTGGAGCAGACGAATGAAGAGGAGATGGATAGATTCCCTTGGCTGAGGGTAAGCTCCGGAGAGCTGTTGTCCCCGTCCGGAATGAAGCCTGGCTCAGAGCTCTGGGACACGGCTCCAACTCACTCTGGGTCTGAGGTCAGGAGAACCAGAGAGGCCCTGTCTCTGTCTGGAATGAAGCCTGGCTCAGAGCTCTGGGACACGGCTCCAACTCACTCTGGGTCTGAGGTCAGGAGAACCAGAGAGGCCCTGTCTCTGTCTGGAATGAAGCCTGGCTCAGAGCTCTGGGACACGGCTCCAACTCACTCTGGGTCTGAGGTCAGGAGAACCAGAGAGGCCCTGTCTCTGTCCGGAATGAAGCCTGGCTCAGAGCTCTGGGACACGGCTCCAACTCACTCTGGGTCTGAGGTCAGGAGAACCAGAGAGGCCCTGTCTCTGTCCGGAATGAAGCCTGGCTCAGAGCTCTGGGACACGGCTCCAACTCACTCTGGGTCTGAAGCCAGAGAGATCCAGAGAGGCCTACTATCATATAATAACCCTTAACTTTCCTAACCCATGAAAAATACTTATAATAATACAATAATAATACTGAAAAAAAATCAACCAGACACATTGCTCCACAGATAAAACATAACCACTTCAAAGCATTGGCTCACAGCGCACAATGACTTATTTAACATCCTACAGATGTCCATATTCTTGGCATCTCATGAACAGTGCTCGTATAGATTACCATAAGGGACTGTAAACAATCCCAGTGAAACCATACAGTATGACAATGTAATAAAACTAAACTAAAGTGAGCGTATGTACATCAATGTGTATATGTACATCAATGTGTCAAAGGTTTTAGAACACCTATTAATTCAAGGGGTTTTCTTAATTTTTACTATTTTATAGGGCGGCAGGTAGCTTAGTGGTTAAGAGCGTTGTGCCAGTAACCGAAAGGTCGCTGGTTCTAATCCCCGAGCCGACTAGGTGAAAAATCTGTCGATGTGCCCTTGAGCAAGGCACTTAACCCTAATTGCTCCTGTAAGTCGCTCTGGATAAGAGTGTCTGCTAAATGACAAAAATGTAAATGTAAATGTAATTTTCTACATTGTAGAATAATAGTGAAGCCATCAAAACTATGAAATAACACAAATGGAATCATGTACTCCTGATGTACTGACCTGTTGCAACCTCTACAACCACTGTGATTATTTTTTGACCCTGCTGGTCATCTACTAAACGTTTGAACATCTTGGAGACAAATCTGGCCTTAATGGCCATGTACTGTTATAATCTCCACCCAGCACAGCCAGAAGAGGACTGGCCACCCCTCAGAGCCTGGTTCCTCTCTAGGTTTCTTCCTAGGTTTCTGCCTTTCTAGGGAGTTTTTCCTAGCCACCATGCTTCTACATCTGCATTGCTTGCTGTTTGGGGTTTTAGGCTGGGTTTCTGTACAGCACTTTGTAACATCTGCTGATGTAAAAAGGGCTTTATAAATACAATTTGATTGATTCATTGATTGATGTAGTAACCAAAAAAGTGTTAAACAAATCAAAACATATTTTATATTTGAGATTCTTAAAATAGCAACCCTTTGCATTGATGACAGCTTTGCACACTCTTGGCATTCTCTCAACCAGCCTTACCTGGAACGCTTTTCCAACAGTCTTGAAGGAGTTCCCACATATGCTGAGCACTTGTTGGCTGCTTTTCCTTCACTCTACGGTCCGACTCATCCCAAACCATCTCAATTTGGTTGAGGTCGGGGGGATTGTGGAGGCCAGGTCATCTGATGCAGCACTCCATCACTCTCCTTCTTGGTCAAATAGCCCTTACACAGCCTGGAGGTGTGTTGGGTCATTGTCCTGTTGAAAAACAAATAGCCCTTACACAGCCTGGAGGTGTGTTGGGTTATTGTCCTGTTGAAAAACAAATGATAGTCCCACTAAGCCCAAACCAGATGGGATGGCGTATCGCTGCAGAATGCTGTGGTAGCCATGCTGGTTAAGTGTGCCTTGAATTCTAAATAAATCACAGACAGTGTCACCAGCAAAGCACCCCCACACCATCACACCTCCTCCTCCATGCTTCACGGTTGGAACTATACATGCGGAGATCATCTGTTCACCTACACTGCGTCTCACAAAGACACGGCGGTTGGAACCATAAATCATCAGACCAAAGGACAGATTTCCACCGGTCTAATGTCTATTGCTCGTGTTTCTTATTGGTGTCCTTCAGTAGTGGTTTCTTTGCAGCAATTCGACCATGAAGGCCTGATTCACACAGTCTCCTCTGAACAGTTGATGTTGAGATGTGTCTGTTACTTGAACTCTGTGAAGCATTTATTTGGGCTGCAATTTCTGAGGCTGGTAATTCTAATGAACTTATCCTCTGAAGCAGAGGTAACTCTGGGTCTTCCATTCCTGTGGCGGTCCTCATGAGAGCCAGTTTCATCATAGTGCTTGATCATTTTTGCGACTGCACTTGAAGAAACTTTGGAAAGTTGTTAAGATTTTCCCTTATTGACTGACCTTCATGTCTTAAAGTAATGATGGACTGTCGTTTCTCTTTGCTTATTTAAGCTGTTCTTGCCATAATATAGACTTGGTCTTTTACCAAATAGGGCTATCTTCTGAATACCCCCCCCTACCTTGCCACAACACAACTGATTGGCTCAAACGCATTAAGAAGGAAATAAATTCCACAAATTAACTTTTAAGAAGGCACACCTGTTAATTGAAATGCATTCCAGGTGACCACCTCATGAAGCTGGTTGAGAGAATGCCACGAGTGTGCAAAGCTGTCATCAAGGCAAAGGGTGGCTATTTGAAGAATCTCAAATATAAAATATATTTTGATTTGTTTAACACTTTTTTGGTTACTACATGATTCAATGTGTGTTATTTCATAGTTTTGATGTCTTCACTATTATTCTACAATGTAGAAAATAGTTTAAAAAAAAAAGAAAAACCCTTGAATGAGTAGGCTTGTCCAAACTTTTGACTGGTAGTGTACATCAATGTGTGTATATGTACATCAATGTGTGTATATGTACATCAATGCGTGTACGTGTAGCTATAGTTTACAGAAACAGTATATGCAACCCCACTTCAGTCATACATAAACACACACACCCTCATGGCCTGGTTCTATATAGGTCTATATACACACACATATAACCTACATGCATACGTCCGTCAGTGGTTAGAGAATAATGAAAAGGCCTGGGTCTCTCAGCGAGGGTCTAGCCATGCCTACTACTATGTACAGGACACCTGATTTACACTGATTCTATGTTGCTGAGAATAATCATTTATGGGGGTGTAACACACACACACACCGATCTATATCCAGTCAGTGTGTGTGTGTGTGTGTGTGTGTGTGTGTGTGTGTGTGTGTGTGTGTGTGTGTGTGTGCGTGTGTGTGTGTGTGTGCGCACATAGTTCCAGTGATCCATGCTGGGAAGAGTTAGTTACAGAAGGGTTAGTTACAGAAGAGTTAGTTACAGAAGGGTTAGTTACAGAAGAGTTAGTTACAGAAGGGCTAGTTACAGAAGGGCTAGTTACAGAAGAGTTAGTTACAGAAGGGCTAGTTACAGAAGGGCTAGTTACAGAAGGGCTAGTTACAGAAGGGCTAGTTACAGAAGAGTTAGTTACAGAAGGGATAGTTACAGAAGGTCTAGTTACAGAAGGGCTAGTTACAGAAGGGCTAGTTACAGAAGGGCTAGTTACAGAAGGGCTAGTTACAGAAGGGATAGTTACAGAAGGGCTAGTTACAGAAGGGCTAGTTACAGAATAGTTAGTTACAGAAGGGATAGTTACAGAAGGGCTAGTTACAGAAGAGTTAGTTACAGAAGGGATAGTTACAGAAGGGCTAGTTACAGAAGGGCTAGTTACAGAAGAGTTAGTTACAGAAGGGATAGTTACAGAAGGGCTAGTTACAGAAGAGTTAGTTACAGAAGGGCTAGTTACAGAAGGGCTAGTTACAGAAGGGCTAGTTACAGAAGGGCTAGTTACAGAAGAGTTAGTTACAGAAGGGCTAGTTACAGAAGGGTTAGTTACAGAACGGCTAGGTAAAGAACAGCTAGTTACAGAAGAGTTAGTTACAGAAGAGCTAGTTACAGAAGGGCTAGTTACAGAAGGGCTAGTTACAGAAGGGCTAGTTACAGAAGGGCTAGTTACAGAAGAGTTAGTTACAGAAGGGCTAGTTACAGAAGAGTTAGTTACAGAAGGGTTAGTTACAGAAGGGTTAGTTACAGAACGGCTAGGTAAAGAACAGCTAGTTACAGAAGAGTTAGTTACAGAAGGGATAGTTACAGAAGAGTTAGTTATAGAAGGTCTAGTTACAGAAGGTCTAGTTACAGAAGGTCTAGTTCCAGAAGGGCTAGTTACAGAAGGGCTAGTTACAGAAGGGCTAGTTACAGAAGAGTTAGTTACAGAAGGTCTAGTTACAGAAGGGCTAGTTACAGAAGGGTTAGTTACAGAAGGGCTAGTTACGGAAGAGTTACAGTGGGGAAAAAAAGTATTTAGTCAGCCACCAATTGTGCAAGTTCTCCCACTTAAAAAGATGAGAGAGGCCTGTAATTTTCCTCATAGGTACACATCAACTATGACAGACAAAATGAGAAAAAAAAATCC